AAAAACAAAAACAAAAACAAAAACAAAAAAACAGGGAGGGAGATTGAGAGGGGTTTGGCCAGTGAAGTGGAAGGAAAACTAGTAAAAAGTTGCCCCAGAGAAGCCTGGGAAATACAGTATTTCCAACAGAAGTGTGTGGATTGCTATTGAGAGTTTAATAAAATAAGGGATGAGAAGTATTCATTGGGTTTGACAACACACAGTGCTATGGAGATCTCATCGGGGTAGTCGTGGTGATGCTGAACCCAAATGCGCTTATTTAAAGACATAACGGCAGCAGAAATAGAAGACGGCACGTGTAAACGACCATACAAAACAGCAGAGAAATAAAGGTGTTAAGATCTGGAAGGTGGAAAGTTTTTAAGAAGAATATAGACACTAGAGGATTTGTGTTATGCTGTTGAGAGTAATCCTACAGAGAGGTCACAAGCTGCTGGAGCAACATAAAGGTTTAACTCAGAGAGACAAGTCTCTGACGGTGAGAGACAGGAGCCAGAGTACAGAGGATGGGAACAGTGTCTCCAATACAACGGAGGACAGACGGAGAAGGTGAGTGCAATAATAGGAAGGTAGAAAAATGAGGGAGATTATCTGAACAGCTTCTGTTTTCTTAGTGAATTGTGAAGGTCATTAACTAAGGGTGGGGATGGAAAGATCATCTTGAAAAGCAAGGACGTAAGTTTACCAGAGAGAGAAGAATTCCAAGGCAATATGGAGTGCCACCTGAAGACTGTGATCATGAATTTAAAAAGTCAATCAGTCCATTTGCATGATTTTTCTCAGGTAACATTCACCTGTTCAAGTACAAGCACAGAGAAAGAAATGGAAAAGTTCAACCAGAGAAGATTCTGGACAGGCAAGTATCTTTTTCCTCCGAAGGAAAGGCTGATGTGCATTATTTACAGTTACTTATGCCACCTCAAAACACAAAGTAGTTCAAAATGCAAACAATGACATACATAGCAAATATAGTGTTATCGTAATGAACTAACACTTACAATCTTTTAATTTAGTTCTCAAGATCATACCGATACCACATTCTGCTCATCAATCTTCCACTGGTTATCTCAATTTGGCCCTATACTATACTTTCTTTTCTATTAGCATATTTTCTAAAAACACATTGATGACAGGTATAAAAATACTACAACAATCACTGTTCTCAAGACAATTTAATATTTTATTAGAAAAAACTAGGTAAAAAGCTAAATATACTTCTTCCCTAGAAAGCAAAGGAATTCACTAAAGATAAGCAATCTTCATAACAGATATAAATTGTATAAAATTTAAGCTATTTATTTATATCATACTTTATTTTCTATCTGTTATATATATCACACATATTCACTGAAGGAAAAAGACTTAAAATACAGATTAATTCCAAAAGAGATGATATATATAATCAGTTGCTCTTGCTCCAAAAAATCATATTAATATAAACAATTATAAATTTCAGATAGATGAATAGGCCACGTTCTGTAAAAACTAATTTGTTACGCATTCTGTATATGCTATATAAACATTAATTTTGTCTTACTACTTTCCAAAAT